GAGGCGAAGGAATTGGGAATAGGGGATAGCATTTTTGCAGGAAGGTGGGTGGGAGGAGGAGTATTCTAGGTAGCTGTGGGAGTCGGTGGGCTTGAAATGAATATCTTCTAGGTAGCTGTGGATCCTGGCATCTGCTGTCAGTTAGTTACATGTGGGAAATGGACAGGGGAAGCCAGCATTCTATATTTTACAGTTTGGGTGTCCATGCCAAGCAAACTGAACCCTGGAGTCAATCGAGTGAACACAGAACATTAACAGTGCATTGTAAAGTGATAGTACTCTCCTGGGTGCTTAGAATCCCAGCTCTATTTATGGTAGTGCCTTTAAATTAGAAAGCCACCCATGGCACATTGCAGGAGAATTATCAACCTAAAAATTGAGAAAAAGATGGTGACAGGTGTCCCATACGTTTGGCAGAAGAGTGACGGCCACGTTTTAAATGCCTGTGAGAGTCTTGCATTTGAGGTGTTTGCTGTTCCTCGTCGTTGGGTCTACTGATTTATGGTGACGGAATAAACCAATTCATGTTGCCAGGGATCACGGGATCTATAATGGAAGCTAGAATCCACAAGCCTGCCTGTTTTCCAGCGGGAATGGCAAGCTGTGGGGACTGGCAGCATTTTATTTAAACAAAAAGAAAACCCAACGACAGAACAAGGCAAGGGAAAGATATTGTAACAATGCTGATGGCAGAGAATCTAACGTTCCTGTTACACTGTAACGTATCAGTAAACATTAAAGCTGCTTCACAAATCTTTATTGCTTTGGAAACAATTTGCAAATGACTTTGTCTGGCTTATTGGCAAGATAATAATCGAGACCGGGGCCTGGGGAAGAACACTGTGTCGATGTGACACTAGAACAGAAACGCTGACTCATTCTAATCAGTGATATTGCTACAGGTTACAAGTATTTTGCTTAAGAATTTTCACATCAGGGAACATCTTGCCCCAAATAATTTTTTTTATTCATCACAGGTTGAGGGTGTCGCTAGCCAGACCAGCATTTATTGCCCATCCGAGAAGGCAGGTAAGAGAGCCATTGTTGTGGGTCTGGAGTCACATGTAGGTAAGACCAGGTATTGCCTCCTTCCCTAAAAGACATTAGTGAACCAGTTAGGTTTTTCCCCCCAACAATCAGCAATGGCTTTATGGTCATCATTAAACTCTTAATTCCAGGTTTTTAATTGAATTCAAATTCTACCATGACAAGATTTGAACCCACAACATTAGCTGCATTAACAGTCCAGTGACAATACCACTAGGCCATTGCACATTGCTTATCAGCAATAAAACAAGAACTGTGAGATACCAACACTGGGACTCAATCTCCCTGTTCAGATTTATTACTGCCATTCACAGAATGTTATCGTATCTATTTCTCTCTTCTTCTCTTGATTCATGTTGGGGTCAATTCCCTCTGGGGTGCTAGCTGTTCCATCGTCCCTAAGAGTCTCATCCTTCACATCTGAACGCTGAAAGCGAGTGTTGACAGGCAAATTGACCAAGAGGTGCACATTCTCCTCCTGGCCTCATCATCCTTGTGTACCCACTTTCCAAAGGGTTCCTCTTTACAGTTCAGGCCTACCACAACTGATCCCAGCTCCCGATCACTATGACTACCTCCCCTCTACTCCCTCCTCCACACACTCTCAAATCAGAACAGCCACCTAGTTCTAGATTTCCACTCCTTTACAGAAGGAAGGCTGCCATCTTTACCCTGTCCGGCACACATGTGAGTCCAGCCCTGCAGCAAAGTGGCTAACTCTGAATGGCCCTCTGAAGTGGCTGAGTTACTCATTTGTACCAAACTGCTACAGAAAGGTCATGAGATGGGCAGCAGTGGTCCAAGGAGACAGCTAGCCTCTCAAAGGGCAATTTGGGATGGGCAATAAATGCCTACCTCTTGTGATTGATGTCCACACCTGTCAAGGGATATTTAAAAAGAAACATCCATTGACCTTGGGCCTCACACAGCAGTAACACTGATACGCTCTGCGCTTATCTAGTTATTCTATCCACATCCAGGTTTGGAAGTTGCTGTTGAAGGAGTATTGGTCAGTTGCTGCAGTGTATCTTGTAGATGGTACAAACTACTGCCACTGTGTGCCAGTGGTGATAGGACAGACTGTTAGATCATAGAACATAGAACAGTACAGCACAGTACAGGCCCTTTGGCCCACGATGCTGTGCCGACCTATTGTCCTACTAAGATCAAACTACGCCACATACCCTACATTTTACTATCATCCATGTGCCTATCCAAGAGTCACTTAAAAGTCTCTAAAGTATCTGACTCCACTACCACTGCTGGCAGTGCATTCCACACACCCACCACTCTCTGTGTAAAGAACCTACCTCTGACATCTCCCCTTAACCTTCCTCCAATCACCTTAAAATTATGCCCTCTTGTAATAGTATTTCCGCCCTGGGAAAAAGTCTCTGGCTATCCACTCTATCTTGATGATGGACATTGTGGCCCTCCACCTAAACTAGATATTATGTCCTTCCCAACCTCAGTTCTTCTTCCAAATGGTGCTCAACAGTTGACAGAGATTGATGGGTGCCAAACAAGCAGGCTGCTTCAGCCTGCAGTGTCAAGCTTTTTAAGAGCTGTCGGAGCTGTACTCATCCACGTAAGTATAGAGTATTAAGTAGTGGGCAGCAGACACATGTGGACACCATCGCCTGCAAGGTCCCTTCCAAGCTACACACCTTCCTGACTTGAGACTATAAGACACAGTAGTAGAAGTAGGCCATCCAGCCCATCCAGTCTGATCTAACATTGAATGACATCATGACTGATCTGATAATCTTCAACTTTACTTTCCTGCTTTTTCCCTAAATTCCCTTACTAATTAAAAATCTGTCTATCTCACCCTCGAATATACTTAATGACCCAGACTTGATAGCCCTCTGTGGTAAAGAATTCCACAGATTCACTACACTCTGAGAGAAGAAATTCCTCCCCATCTCTGTCTTAAATGTGTGACCCCACGTTCTGAGGTTATACCTTCTGGTCCTAGACTCTGCTACTAGGAGAAACAACCCCTCCAAATCTACCCTGTCAAGGCCCCTAAGAATTTTGTGTATTTCAATAAGGTCACCTTTCATCCTTCTAGATTATAATCAGTACAGTCCCTACCTACTCAACCTCTCCTCATAAGACAGTCCCTCCATGGCTGGTATCAGCCTAGCAAACCTTTTCTGGACTACTTCAATGTCAGAATATCTTTTCTTAAATAAAGGGGCCCAAAACTGTTCACAAGATTCCAGCTATGGTCTGACTAGTGCCTTGTACAGTTTGACAAAACCTCCCTCCTTATACTCTATTTCCTATTACCCACTGATATTGAGTGCTGGCTCTTTGTGATCATGGACAAGGACTCCCAAATCCCTCTGTTGCATAGCTTTCTGCTGCCTTTCTTTATTCTCCTCATATTTTCCCACCATATCATATTCCATACGCCAACTTTTTACCCACTCACATAACCTGTTGCTATCCCTCTGTGGTGTGCTTGTGGCATCCTCATCAATTGCCTTCCTGTCTATTTCTGTGTCATCTGCAAGGTTCACTTTCCTCATCCAAGTCATTAACATATGTCAATAATTGTGGTCCTAGTACTGATCTCTGAGACACAATTTGCCAGCCTGAAAATGTCCCCATATTCCAACTCTCAGTCTTCTATTCGTTAGCCAATCAGCCTAACACGTGATACTTTATCAAACACCTTCTGAAAATCCAAATATATTATATCCATTGCTTCCCCTTCATATATCATGCTTGTTACCTCATCAAAGAATTCTAGTCAATATTCCTTCACTGTCGCTAGGTCAAAATCCTGGAGCTCCCTCATTGTGGGTGTGCGTACACATCAAGGACTGCAGTGTTCAAAAAGGCAGCTCACCATCACCTTCTCCAGGGCAACTATGATGGGCAATAAATGCTGGCCCAGTCAGCGATGCCTACATCCCACGTATAAAAATAAGTGAACAGGCAGCAGCAAGACAGGAGTTTTGATATTTGCCACCGAATTTCTGACCTCTGACCAGGTCTTGTAGCCAGAGTTTTGATACATCTAGTTCAGTGCAGCTTCTGGTTGATGATAAACCCCAGGATGCTAATGGTGAGGCGATTTCCTGACATGATAATGAGCACTGAACATCAGGGGTGATGGTTATGTTCACTCTTGTTGGAGATGATCATTGCCTGGCATTTGTGTGGCGTAAATGATAGCTTCCAATGCCACAAAGTTGGTACCTGCTATTTTACATCGGAGTTATCTGAATCAACCTGTTTAGAAATGTTAAGACACACTCCTGGGGCAGGCAGAATGTGATCCAAACCTTCTGGCCTAAAGGTAGGATCACTACCACTGTATCCAAGAGTCTTAAACTGAAAGCTATAGACTTAAGAAAATTGGAGGTAGGAGACAGAGAGATATGAGGGTAGATATTTTTTCACATAGAGAATTATCAGCTAAAATGCACTGCCTGAAAACGTATGGAGGAAAAAATTAATACCAAAGTTCAAAAATATATTTGAAATATATCCAGGGCGTTGGGCAAAGTGAGACTAATTGGATTTCTCGTTCAAAGAGCTAGCACAATCAATGAGGGATCGAATGGCCGCCCTCTGTGTGCCACATGATTCTGTCATTAAAACCCACGTAGGTACAAAACCAGGCACAGTCGCATCCTCTCTGGGTTTTCCTCTGAACGAAAACAGTTGCAGAGTGCCCTGAAAAAAAAACAAATTCCGATCCTCCAGCCTTCCCCTGTCTATCTGAAGACACTTCATGAATATACAAAGGAAAAGCTGGAAGTTACAATCCAAATTGTCCGGAAAGGGTAGGGGAAAAGGAGGGAGATCGGTGCTTACCACATGCTAAAGTGCAGGCATCCCTTATAGCCTTGTACTTGTTCCCCGTCGCTTCCTTCGAAATCTTCTTCAAAATTTCATCCATGATTTCAGCACCAGACAGAGGGGGAGGAGGAATTGGGTAGAATAAACGGCTTGGTTGGAAATGGGGAGATAAATCAAGTTACGATGTTACCTGCGAGTCATTGAGAAGTGGAGGTTAAGGAAACCAGGCAAAGCCAGCCCTCTGGATCTAGGGACACGTCTCCCTGTTTATGAATTGGGGTAGGAGAGGGGGGTAGAATATATAAGTAAATAAATAAAATGGGAAGAGAAGGGGTTTGCAGACCTGGCTGAGGCGCTATCCAAGACACAGCTACGGTGTCACTATATTGATGCACCGTCCTCCAGACCTGGGTATCTCATCCCCAGATCCACCACCCCCCTCCCGATTTCCCTGGAGCTCAGCACGGACACTGCCCTGCCCACTCTCCATCACCGGAGCTCATACCGTAATCCCTGGCATCGGCTGGAAACTCTGGAACTGGAGCGCAAAGAGGCCGTGGAAAGAGAGAGAGAGAGGAGGGAAAGGGACACACATTATAACATAGGGGCACGAATGAAAAAAAAAACATAAATAGCCGCAATAGAGTCAGAAGTGAAATACCTGAGTCAAAGATATATAGCAGAGTCACTGTTGAAACAGCTGGAACAGAGACAAGATTTTAAAAGGAAACATCTGCAGCAGAGTTAAACATCTGGAGCAGAATCATAGGTGTAAAATAAACCGCAAGAATTATAGTTGAAATATCTGGTACAAAGTGCCAAAGCAAACTGCAGAGTCAAAACTAAGCAATCTGGATCCAAGAGGAGGCTCCTGCAGGAGGGTCAAGGATAGAAACTTCCGCTGCAAAACATCTGGAGCTCAGGGAGTCTGTGAGGAAACATCTGGAGTGGAATGAATGCTGAAACATCTGCTGCAGAGTCAGAGTTACAACATCTGGAGCTCAGATAATCCACAAGGAGACATCTGGAGTGGAATCAAGCAAGTGGGGTGGCATGGTGGCTCAGTGGTTAGTACTGCTGCCTCACAGCACCAGGGACCTAGATTCAATTCCAGCCTCGCGTGACTGTGTGGAGTTTGCACATTCTCCTTGCGTCTGTGTGGGTCTCCTCTGGGTGCTCCAGTTTCCTCCCACAGTCCAAAGATATGCAAGTTAGGTGGATTGGCCATGCTAAATTGTCCATTGTGTTCAGGGATGTGTAGATTAGGTGGGTTATAGGGGTATGGGTCTGGGTGGGGTGCTTCAAGGGTCAGTGTGGATTTGTTGGGCTGAAAGGCCTGTTTCCACACTGTAGGGGTTCTATGATTCAAACTTGAAACATCTGGAGCCCAGTGGGTCACAGATAGATACATTTTTTTAATTCATTCAGGCATTGCTGGCTATGCAGCATTTATTGCCCATCCCTAATTACCCAGAGGGCAGTTAAGAGACAACCACATTGCTGTGGGTCTGGAGTCACATGTAGGCCAGACCAGGTAAGGATAGCAGTTTCCTTCCCTAAAGGACATTAGTGAACTAAATGGGTTTTTCCAATAATTGGCAATGGATTCATGGTCATCAATAGCCTCTGAATTCCAGATTTTATTTTTTATTGAATTCAAATTCCTCCATCTGCCATGGTGGGATTTCAACTCAGGTCCCTAGAGTGTTATCCTGGCCTCTGGATTAACAGTCCAGCGATAATGCCACTAGGACATCACCAGCCCCGGAGCAGTCATGTGTGAAAACATCTGAAGCATAATGGCTCCAACATCTGGAGCTCAGAGAGTTGAAACTACGGCAGAGTCAGAGCAAGGAAGTCAAGGCACAAGTAAAACATCTGCAGCAAGCTAAAACGATTGCAACAGAGTCAAACATCTGCAGCAAGGTAAAACGATTGCAACAGAGTCAAACATCTGCAGCAATGTAAAACATCTGTAGCAATGTAAAATATCTCCAGCAAGATATAACAACTGCAACACAGAGTCAAACATCTGCAGCAAGGTAAAACATCTGCAGTCAGCAGCACATGTGCAAAATAAACTGCAGACAATGCGGCCAATAAATTGACATTTATTGCAACAATAAATGTAAAACACTGAATTGAAACACATGACTTGTCAAAGCAGAGATTTTTTCTGATACTACAATTTATGTTTACAGTGTTGATGGAGTCTATTCAGCCCACTGAGTCAATGCTGGCACTTTTGAAAGAGTTACCTTCTCAAATCCAATCTCTGGGATCTCCCCAAGACCCTGGAGTCTCTGTCTACCCCTACAGTGTAGCCATGTCTCTCACAACAGATGTAATGTTGTCTCTATTTTGCTGTGGAAAAGCAGTACAATTAAAATAATCCTAACTTCCTATTTTAACTCCAAATTTGACTTAAATCTATGAAGCAAATATAATTTATCTGCAACATTCCATGCCCAGATCTTGGAGGAGTCATTTTTAAAAAAAAGTTGTCTGTGGCTTTGCAGGCTGAGGTGGTCAGCATTTGTTGCCAATCCATCATTGAGTAGGTGGTGATGACTGCTGCAGTCATCCCCTCCTCTGAGATACCATCGTATCCTCAACAAATGTCTTTCCATTGGAATCAATCACGTTAGTGTCAATGAAGGAAACTATTGACCTCAGTCCCCAAAGAGTTAACGCTGGTATAGCCTTTCCTCCTACATTTTCAGCCACCCATCAGTCAGGAGAGTCAAATATTGTTGATGATCTTGGGAGTGAAGCTCTAGCATATTATAACCCAGAGTACATACTGTGAAATCCCTCAAGGCAGTGTGGGGAATTTGTATTGTTTTTAAAATAGCTGGAAGTAGATGCTGGGATCAATGGAAATGACCATAAAGCTACCGGATTGTGGTTCAGCAATATCCCATAGGATAGAACTGCTGTCCTGATTGTTGGTGTGAGTCAACATGCTCTTCCAATCCAACATTAACATGATTCACTTCTAACCATTCAGGAAGAGAGGCGATGGCCTAGTGGTCTTATCATATAATCCCTACAGTGTGGAAAGAGGCTATTCAGCCCATATAGTCAGCACTAACCCTCTGAAGTGCGTCCCACCCGAACTCTGTGAGCCTGCATTTACCACAGCTAACCCATCTGGTCTGCACATCCCTGGACACCATGGGGCAGTGGTTAGCATGGCCAATCCACCTAATCTACACATCTTTGGACTGTAGGAGGAAACCACAGCACCTGGAGGAAACCCACAAAGACACAGGGAGAATATGCAAAGTCCACACAGATAGCCACCCAAGGCTGGAATCAAACTCAGGTCCCTCACACTGCGAGGCAGCGGTGCTAAACACTGAGCCACTGTGTCTCCCCAGGATTCTGTGATTATCACTAGACTATTAATCCCAAAGACCCAGGTAATGTTCTAGGGATCTGGGCCTGAATCCTGTCACATTGGATGTTGAAATTTGAACTCAATAAATATCTGGAATTAAGAGCCTAATGGCGACCATTAATTAATTGTTGGGGGAAAGCCCATCTAACTCACTAATGCCCTTCAGGGAAGGAAATCTGCTGGCTTTGCCTGGTTTGGCCTATGTGTGACTGCAGACCCACAGCAATTTCCTCTGGGAAATCAGGGGAGGAAAATAAATGCCTAACCAGTGACACTCACAGCCAGTGAAAGAATATTAAGAGTCATTCCCAAGGTAAATAGGGATCAGCAATAACCTTGCAAGGAAGGCCCACAAGTCAAGAGGGGTAGTATAATTTCAAGTAAAAGCCTCCTTTTTTTTAATTCATTTAATGGCATAGTTACCAACTGGTCCAACACTTACTGTCCATTCACATTGCTGTGGGTCTGGAGTCACAGGTAGGCCAGACTTAGCAAGGATGGCAGAATTCCTCCCCTGAGGACATTAGTGTCCTAATTACACATACTTGATGGAACAATTAAACATTTAATTCCATATGTTTTTGGATTCAAATTCCATTTGCCATAGCAGGATTTGAACCCGGGTAAATCTCTGGATTAACAGCCCACTGATAATACCACTAGGCCATTGTCTCCCTCCTATCAAATAGAGAACAAAAATGAATTAAACATTAATCCCAGAACTCCAAGTCTTATTAAAGGGGCAATGCCCTGATATTTTTGTTTTAAGTGTTTGAAAAATATTTTCCCGATTGTTTCCAAAAATATTGACAAAAATTCTGTTGTAACCCATGTCCCCTGTGTCCAGCATCACGATGGAAATAACTCATAACTCCTCCCTCCCGAACAACAGGAAGAAAAAATATTTTTTGGTTGAAGTTAATAACATGTTCAGACTTTCTGGAAGGTCAGAGAGGTATAAATGCAATCAAGTACTTCGCTTCTCCAGACCCTCAGGCTCGTTTTACTGATTGCATCAAGGGGAATTCCTAATCACCCATGTTGCCATTCCCGGCCACACTTATACGTGGCTGGTGGGTGGAATCCGATTCCAAATGATCCCCATCTGGTTTTTGTTCTCACCTTGCGGATGCCGTCAATACTTCCTGGTTTTTGCACCGTCATTCCGCCGTCGTCAGGAATCAGTAACGTCAGCCGTATGTGTTTGTGAGAGAGAGGCAGAGTGGGAATGACAGGTTTATAGTTGGAAAACTGCACGGAACCTTAATTAAGTTACAGGATGCAGAGAGTTACTTATCTGCCTGTATTATAGACAGCACTGAAGGTCCTTCGTCCCTGAGATTTGCATTTAATCCAAATGCATTGTGTAAAAAGGAATGAATTTGCATTTACAGACCATCATTCAGGGCTTACCAAAAGCACTTTACAGACAATGAAGCATTTGGAGTATTGATTTATTGTTAAAAATTCTTTCCTGCAATGTGCATGACGCTACTGCCCCTAATTGTCCTTGGCCTGAGTGGCTTGCTAGGCAGTTTGCGAAGGCAGTTACCAGTCAATCTGTTTGGTACAGCAGCAGAACTGCTAATACTGTGAAGTAAAATATTTTTAAGCATGAACATTATATAATCACACAGGAATTACATGGTATCAGAAACAATATTGTAAGGAAGACTAAATTTCAGAGATGGGCCAGATGGAACACAGGATTGGACACCTTGAAGAAAACAATTTGTAAAATGTAGAATAGTTTCCAAGTTAGATGCTAAATTGGAAGCTGAACAAGTAAATACACTTCCATACACAATTGGGAGTATAGTTGATATTATAGCTCATCAATAGGCAAAGAAGCAACAGATACCTTTGTAAAGGTATTGAAAGCCTTTGACAATTGCCTTAACCTCAGAACAAATAAAATTCTGGATTGTGTGAGACTTAAAACAAGAGCTCAGCATTCAGGGAATCCATAGATTATTTCATTCATTATGTCTACAGATTCATTGAGAAATAGAACTATAGGAACTTCACGTCAGAATTCATAAGAGTCGGAACTGCTGTAGAAAGTACTGATGAGCCTTTGTCAGATTCACTACAGTCCAAA